TAGTAAGAAGTCTGCAATCTGTAACTGGTTGAAGGATCATGAGAATCAAAACCACATAAATAATTGTAATTGCAACGTAAAGCGTGGCTTGTGTTTTGGATTTGTGAAATTCAAGGAAGCAATAGCATAGAGTTAGGTCAGGAAAGGGATAATGAAGGATGACGCAGATGATCGAAAACAGGATAATCCATGGCCCTCATCAAATGCGTCCTTTCAGGGGAAGCCCGAGCAAGATATGAAGCTTTGGGGAGTTTTCCTCTTTGGCTTGATAGGTGCCACTGCCACAACCTTCGCCGTGAGTTATTCGCTTTACCTTTCTTGAATTGATTCCAAAGAGATCAATAAAACCAAGCCATATTAGCAGCGATGTCCCTAGGTGGTTTGGAATTGGTAGATATTTTTCTCTTGGTTAAATCGGCCTTTTTAATGTGCTTGGGATCGTAATTTGTAGGCTAAATTTGTCTACACTGCGCATAGAAAACTGAAACTTTTATACTTTTCATAAGAATTATTCGAAACAAGTGCACCTCTTTAGCCTCCGATTGGCTCAGAATACTCGCACTTCATTATATGTTAACATTGCTTACTGCGGGTAATGGCATGTTCTTTTGCGGAGCTTTTAAATTTGATGCTGTTATTTAATGCTTGACGCAATTCGGCAGGTTAGTCAGCTGCGGAGGACTGTTGATTGGTTCTATGCCCAGGTAGAGATAGTATATGCCAGCAGCATGTTTGTCCAATTGGACTTGATTAGCACATAGATATTAACTTCTTGCCATTGTCTATCTTAGTGAATCGTAATTAGTAGCTAATGAAGAGCTCAATCTCACTAAGCTTTTTTATATTTGGGCTGGCCATGCATGATTCGTCATTGAAACTGATCATGCATCCCATTGAACTTTGTAGATGTCCAGATCTCAATCACCATGGAAAGGAGGGACAGGCAATTCCTTTCGGTCGGCTTTTCAGGAAGAAGCATGGAAAAGGTACAATAAGCGGCTCCAAGAAGAGTATGAGGAGGAAATGGCAAGAGTGGTGAGTTTTGTCTCTCTAGTTGTATGCGTTCAATTAGTTTATGAACTTTGCATTGCATTTTTTGAGTTTGAAATAAAAAATCTGCCGTGATTTTTTGAAAGGGTGGACCAAGCTCTTTCTTCTAAGGGATGAATTTGACTGCAAAATGTATTGTTTGACTCTAGTGTGCTGCTAAAAAATGCAGCGTTTGGCTTGTAAAAAATAAATAAATAGATAAAAATTGGTTGGTTGGTTATCCTTGGTATTTGGGCTTAAACCTTTGTAATTCTCCTTCTGCTCTTTGTAGGAACGTATAAGGCGCATGCAAAGTGTGTTTAACAGGGAAAGGAATAAGTACAAAAGAAGCTATGAGAACTGGGGTGATTGTGGTCAAGATGCACATCACCAACATTTCCAGAGAGATGATTGGTATTGGAAGACCGGCTCATCCTATAGAGATTGGAGGACGAATTATCGAGAAGCTCCAAGGGAAACTGGAAGTTATTCATTGTCACATCACTACTCAGTTTTGGGTCTTGACAGGTACTTTTTTTAATATAATTTGGATCCTAATTGCCTGTAGTGTGAATTTCTATTGCCTTATATTGCAGCAATGATATTAGACTTAATAGGTGCTTCCTCTTCTTTGAAAGTAGAATTCTGCTAGTAGACCACATTTTTGTGCTTTAGTTTTGCCTTGTTGGAAATGCTCCAGTTGAGGCAGCATAAAACATTAAGTGTAATGTCTAAACTCAGTTTTTATTTTAGAATTGATGCTTCTTTTTATTGATTTTTTTTTCAATGGAAAGCGAAATTTATTCATGACATCTTTTTAATGACTTTGATTTAATTATGTTGGTATTTTGATCAAGACGTTTTGCCTTCTCTCACTCCTTAATTTTTCAATCTTAAAGTACTTGAAGTCTGCTGGCATAAGGACAGATTAAACTTCTAATTATGGTATTTACCCTTAAAGTTTAGAACATAATTGGCTAATAATTGAAATTATATGCTCCAACAACACGCTTGTTTGGGGTAAAATATTGTTAATATTGTATCGTGGCAATGACAGTAGTTAAAAACCCTGTCTGTTCTTCAATCTTCACCCTCTAAAGACTAGCTATGAACATGCTTGGCCTGTGATTCAACAGGATAGACCATATCACTGTAGAACTGTTTAGTTATATAACTTTAGAAAGTAAAATCCACATCTTGGAAAACAAATGGAAGTTGTGGAGTTAAAGGACTTTGTCCAATAACCACAAATCCATGTAGTCATGGAACACTTCTCTAATGATTCTGGAGCAAATAAATATCGAATCTCATTAAAAGCAGTTTTTGTCCAAAAAGGTTGCAGTTTTTTACAATTAAAAAAGACAAAAACCAGAACGTGATGCGGATGGGTTGATTGTGGTGATAAGACTGTTAAATCATGTGCTGAGATTCCATCCTGAGCTGGAATTATATAAACACTTGAAGAACTATGCATTTGGATAAGAATTTAATGTGTTTGCATCATTAGTATTAGTATTATTATTAATTCTTGCCACATTTTGCTGGACAACAGGTTTAGAACAACACCGTATACTGATGCAGAGATCAAGGTAATCTTTCTTCTATTGCATGTGACGGGGAGTGTTACTTCACCAATAACATTTTGCATTGCATTCTCGTAGATGAAGAGGATGTTTCATTGTGATACTCTATTATGCAATTTTCCTTTCAGCCTCTGAAATGCATGTAGAGCCAGCACTCAAGCTTTATTAAATATTAATATTAGCAACGTTCTTGAGCTATTAGTTTCGATATCATTGCCTTGGAGGTGAGGGAAATAATGTAAACAAGATATTTACCTAGCGTTTGGGCTCTCGAGGCAAATCAAATTATAAGACAGCCAACGTATTACCATTTAGCAACTATTTTGAGTAGCTGCCCCGGAGATAGTCTATTATGTATAGTTTTGTTCAAACATGGTATTTTATGGCGTGAACCCTGATTTGATATTTGATGACAGCTCTCCACCTTCAGATTTTTGTTGTTATTTGTTCACCCTGATAAATGCTTTTTTTGCTCGTTGTGGTAATGGCGTGGCTGTATTACGTGAGTCAGTGTCATCAGTAGAGTATGCTTTTGTCTTTGCAGACAGCATTTAGAACCAAGGCAAAGGAGCATCATCCTGATCAGAACCAGGATAATAGAGGTAAATCTTGATCGGCCATTTCTTAATAATATCTGGTGACCTCATTTCATTTCTTTATTACTTATATTTGGAGACCTGTCAATTTACAGAGGCTGCAGAGGCAAAATTCAAAGAGGTGGTGAATTCTTACGAAACCATAAAAAAAGAAAGAGCGAGCCTGAGCTGAAGCTGTAACTGCCCAACCTTTCCTCAGCTCCTGCCTCAGAATTTTCAATTTTGGAACCTACTCGAACAAGCATTCCGGGTGTATATAAAAATTCATATTTCTGTATCGTTGACGAGCTTAATAATGATTCCCTGCATTCGGGATTGTATGACAATGACACATAGAATGTTCTCATATTAGGTTGCTATCTAGAGATGAGTTAAATTATGCTTGTAAGGATAGAGAAATGCAGAGTTATCAATGCAACCCCGACATTCAAGGCCACTCTAAATCATTTGCACGGCATAGCTTAGGACCTCTTTTCTAACTAGTAATGCATTATTTTTTATATATATCTGAATTCATGGATGTACAATGTTTTCCGGTGAGGCGTTTCGTTCTGAATTAGAAGGGCTTATTTAACATTTACATACCCGCAAATAGAAATACAAGTAGTAATGAGTCTGACAATTCTTTGCGGGTACAAACAACATGAGTGGTGATTTAGAAGACTTGTCTCCATTGTCTCTCACTCAAATACCTTTCGTAAAAGTTTAAATGCTGAATGCGATGCCATGCCATCTCACGCTACCGGAGCTTCACTAGATACTGAAAAGAGCAGCCAAGTTTGGCGATAGAGAAAATTATACCTAAACACTCAAATTTTATGCTGATCTTATGAAATAATTATTTTCGAAGATTTAAGTTAATATATAATTTTATTAGACTTTTTTATCAAAATTTAAAAAAAAAGTTAAGGTATAATTTTGCCATTAAAATGTTTTTAGAGGAATAATATTGCCTTTAAACTAATTAAATCAAAGCAATGTTGCTTTCGTTATTTAAATATCTGTTACTATAGCTGATAGAATTTACTTTTTATGAGTTAAAGTATAATTTTGCTCTTAAACTATTTTCAGAGAAGCAATGTTGCTCTCGTTGTTTCAAAACTATAAAATTAGATAAAAAATGAAATTATAATAATATCAAATGTATATATAAAATAAATGTAAGAAAAAAAATATAGCATATTAATAAAATGAGATAACAATATCGTAAATTAAAAATATTATAAATTATAAATTTATAACTTGTCAAATATAGGTGAATCTTGATTAAATTAAATATAAGTAGATTCAAAAGTATTTGCATTTGCACATATAACTATGGACATCTTTATAAAAAAATTATCTCAAATTATATTTTATACACGTGAATTGTTTAAAAATAAAGTTGGCTTTTAGTAGGATTTAATTTTTTAATTTTTTATTTTAAAAAAATTGAGCTTTTTTTACTATTGTGTTGAAAACTGTCCAACTTTTTAAAAATCGCTCTGGTTTTCATTCAATTTCTGTTTTTGATTTAATTGTGACTTAACTTTTATCCAATCCGGCTCAATCATGAAAATAATTTTTTGGTCTAAATCGAGCCTTTAATGACTCCAGTTGACGGTCCTACTATCTACTTTGATTTAATTTTTAAATCATTGCTAACGAGAGATAATAAAAAGTGAGTCCTACTAGCTACAATTAACAGACGTTTATGCTTTTTAACATTGCTCATCTAAAAATAATTTAAGAGCAACATTGAATAGTGGATCCTACCAGCTGCAATAACGGACTTTTAAATGACAGGAACAACATTGTTTCAATTTAATTAATTTAAGGGCAACATTGCTACGATGAGTAGTTTAGAGGATAACATTGCTCTTCTAAAAGTGGCTTGGAGACAAAATTCACTTTAATCCTTCAAAAAACTATCATCATATTTTTATCAAATTTTAAAAAATTGTCATCAGATTTAAAGGGAGATTGAGTTTGTACAATTTTCTTAAAAATTTAAAAACATGTATGATAATCAATCTCATAAATTTCATAGTAATCTGATCTTTGAACATGATTAACAATTTTAAAGCTTTACGATTTGGGTCTTTAGATATAATTTTCCCTCAATACCAACTGGCAAGGCAACCGCAATCTTACGCAAGTTAATGTCGCGAATCTGTCGACCTTGCCGAGTCTTGATTAATTTTATGATCATGCTTCGGTGCAATAAAAATAATTTTGTGAGGGACAATTTGCCCGTCTAGTTTTGAGCATGATACAGTGGAATAGATAATAACACGTGGTTATTAAAAAACGGGGGAATGGAGTCAATTTATATAAAAATTATATTGTAATTTAATTGTTATGCTTTTAATATTTATTTCTGATAAAAATATACAGAATTTAAAATAACAAATCATATTTACAACATATTTTTTAAAAATATTATTTAAAAATTTTAAATAACTGTAAATAACACTGTATGACTTGGAGGTTTGAGCACCAAATATGGAAAAATGATTTTGGTAGAAGTGTAAATGAAAATGAGAGTGAAAGTAAAAACAAAAGTAAAATAAGATTTAAAAATATGTTTGATATGTAAATAAAAATAAGATAAAAATTTTATTTAATATTATTTTTTAATTTTAAAAAAATTAAAATATCCTTAAAATTTAGAAAACAACCAAGCATCAGCAACCTACTACTTTCACCTGACAACCTCCATTCTAGGAAATAATTGATCCACAGCTAAACTATAGTTTTTAGAAAAATAATCAATCCAAAACTCAATCAATCCCAAAAACAATTGCACGACTCCAGAGAAGAAATCAAAAACCAAATACCAGAAAGCCTCAAATCAAAGAATTGAAGCAGATCGAGAAAGAAGATGGATGAAGGAATGGTGACGTGAACGAGGAGAAGGAGATTTCAACCCCAGAAAGACAAAAGAGTCATAGCTCTCGGCCTCAGGACTCGCCCATCCGAACCCACGTCATCTAGCAGGAGCATGATATACACCAACGATCCCCTCCCCTAACGATGAGGTGAAAAACCGTGTTGTTCATAGAGGGAATCTCCATTTCCCGACGAGACAGGGCCGTTAGCATCAGAGAATTTGACAAATTGAGCCGAGACAGACGAGTTATAGAGCAAGCTTTGTTTGCGCGAGGCTGAGGCAAGGTAACAGAGGGGAAGCGCGAGAGGCGAGTGAACTAGATCGGAATGGAGCAGAAAGAAGGTGTGGAGCTCGGAGTTGAGGGAGAAGCAATCACACACCATCGCATTTGGGTCGAAGGGTCGAAGTAAGGGGGAGAAGCTTGAAGGGCAAAGATGGCACATGAAGAAGGAAGTGAGGGAGAAACCCAGTTCCATGGGTATACGGAAGGAACTGAGTTCCATCATTTTTTTTTTTTTTTAAGTGGCTTCCTAGACGCCGTAAAGCACCCGGTGGTTCATTCATAAAAAATGACAAGTCGTGAGCAAATAATCACCATAAAGATACTGTGAAATGGAGGGATGGACAAAATCCAGGAGTTAAATTTGTCGGAAAGGAGCGATGAGATGCGCATCAAATAGTGAAAAGTTGCATCTTGAGAGGATCTTGGCATGCAGATAAATTTCGCCTGTGTTCACTCCTGTTTAGACGGAGGTGTTCTGTAATAAGCTGGGACCATCGTAGGGAAGAACATCTGGCGAACTCCTTCCGCCTTGATTATGGGGAACATTATTCCTGAAGCACTCTGCAAGACTAAAAAAAATCAAATCCACAAAAAGCAATCGCTTTTCATTCATTCATTCAATTGAAATGATGTTCATAGGCTTACGAATATCAATCGTGCTCCGATCCAAACCCGATTGGACGAGGGAAATGGAATCAACAAACGGCCAACACCGAATATTGCAACAGCAAAGAAATGGAGAACCAAGCTCAAGGGACGGGGATTTTATCCAGAAAGTAACCAAAATTGGTCCTTCCGAGAATACACCTCCAAGACTTAAATAATCAAAGCATGCTTGGCGCATTTCACTCTTCGACTCATCAGGAGGTGCACTAAACTCCTTGAATACGGCTCCCGCCAGTGGATTTATAGTGGATGCCAAATGCTGCCATTTTAAATCATGAGGATACTTTAATCGCCTTTGCGACTTGTACTAGAATGCTTACAAAAGAGAAGGGGGTGAAATTTACCTACCACAAGGTATAAAAAGACTCGAGATATTTGCGAAGTGTGGATGCATCGTATAGGTCATGCAAAGACTTGAGAAGATTCCGAAGCAGAACTACATCAAACAATGCCACGGTCATTCCTCCCCCAGTTAGAGGATGGCGCACGTTGAATACATCTCCTATCAGAAGGGCTCCAGGAGTAGGACAAGGGCCTGCAGGCCGGCATGCTTCTGTTTGGCATTGTCCTCACATTGCCTTTCTCCACCGCAGCTATAAAGGCATCACGAAGCTTAAAGGGTATCTGCAAAAGTTTGCCACCCGATAAACGATATGCCGATGTCTGAATTTGAAGAAAAATTCTATTTTCATAACGGCATAAAGGAAACTGCATTGGCAAGGTCAAAAAACAAACTGAAAAACTACTAACATACTTCCTCTAGTCTTATTTATAAATTATTTTTATCAATCTCATCAATATCAATATAATAAAAATACAAAAAATAAAATTTAATAAAATTACAAACATAACTTTTAAAAAGTAAATAAAGTATATAATATTATTTTTTTTTATTTTTCTATCATTTTTTAAGGATAGTTTAGATATTTTATTTGAAACAAAATATACTATCAATTCAATGACTTATAAAGTGAATCACTTCATCCTTTTAGAAGGTGAGCAATAAAATGAACCAAAAATAGTATACCTAAAGAGCAACTATTGACATTGTTTTCAGATAGTTAGTCATTACACTGTTTGAAATTGAAGGAACCTTCTGACTAGGTACGTCAATCAAGTAGTAAATCTCTGTTGTACTTATAAGATAAAACAAAATTGGCAAAGGATTTGCTAGGATAACATGGCCATGGTTTGCATATGGAAGTTCACAGTTTTCCAAAATCAAACCAACAAAATAGGAGGGAACGCCTATCTAGATAAAAAGTACGATATAAACTTTAGTGATTTTATAATTATTAAAATAAAATTATTAAACATGGTAGCTGTCAAAAGAATACTGAAAGAAAGATAGCAACGGCTTAACTTAAAATTTAGATGTCATCGGAGAAAGATGTTGAACAATGTAGCTAGGTAAACTTGATCATGCATTTGAGCTGAAAGAGCATTCTAACCTTGGGATTACAAGGAGAACGGCGCAAGGTTGAAAAACATCCATCACAGACAATGGTAAGAGGAGCACAAGCTGAAAATTCTTAGCCATCTCTAGTCTTGTAATGCAAACCATTAATTGTCACATTCTCTTCAAGTAGGAAGTAACTGTTCCTTCCGCCAAATT